AGGAAAACGCTAGTGTCTCTGTCTCTTTCTAATGGAGGAGAGGAGGCTAATGTCTCTGTTTCTGTCTCTTTTCTTTCTAATGGAGGAGGAGGAGGAGGATCTCCAGAATCCAGATGCATCAAGATAGAGTAACAGACAGCAAGTCACCATGAGTCAATGTAAGACAAGCTTACCTCTTGGAAAAACAGCTTTAATCACAGGTTTCAGGAAAAGATAATTAAAAACTTTGATGCACGTTACCTCTTCTTCTACTGACTGATATTCCTTATCTTCTGGAGCAAGATCCAGCAAAATAGTTCCCTGATTAACACAGTGAAAAGTCAAATAAGGATTGGTTCCTGTAGGAAAGAAAATAACATACTAAACAAAAGTTCGCACTATTCAGGCTTTACTTTAGGGAAAACTGTCATAAATAACATTATTTAGAACAAGTCTGTTATTTTCAATTTGAATCTAACATATAAAGTTAGATTAAATAAAGTACATCCAAAGACAAGAGGAGTAATGGAGATGTGTTTGGGTGCAGTTTTCTCTGTTCTTACAGAGTTCCTTAATCAGACAGCAGGGCTCAACAATTATTTGACCTGAACTCATTTATGAACATACATGATTCTGATGAAAAAGAAAACACAATGTACAAGAATTATCCTCTAAAAGACCTATCCTATGTGAGGCGGCTTGAAATGGTCTTTTACAAGTTTAAAACACATTATTATAAATTTCATTATCCTTGTTAATTTAATACAGATACATAAGCAAGACTCAAGCTCAATGCCTGCAGATGTTTCCTTTCATGTCACTCTTACAATTTTATTACCTCTGCAGACTAATTCAGGTTGTTTCTTTTCTCTACCTTTGTGTTCCTAGAGCAAAAGCACTTCTAACCAACAGAGAAATGATAAACATGGAGGCAAACAATGGAGAAAGATAGGAGGCTTGTAACGGCAAAGTACGTGGAAAAGGACTGAGCTGACAAAGGTACAAGATGAGGTAAGAGAGAAAGGTCAGGTTATGAAAATCCATGTGATGAATGTCTGATTTTATCCTGAAAGCAATAGGATTCTATTAAAGGATTTTAAGCAGCAGAATGATATGATAATTTAGTCACTTTGAAAAGAGTCTTCTGGTTACAATGCAGGGAAGATACTGGAGGGGAGGCAAAGGTGACTGTCGGAGATAAGTGGGAAGGTGGTTGTAACTGTCCAGGAGAGAGGAGACAGTGACATGGATTAGGTGACAGCAGTGGGGAAGGACCAAACAGAGATACTTGGGATATTAAGTACTGGGGGAGAGGGAAGAATGACTGATTTCTAGCCAGAGCAACTAGCCAACGCAGGAGATGGGGAGGGCTGGAGGTGCTGCTCCAGCCGAGCTCATGAGCTCTGGGGTCAGGCCACACCATCAAATGCCAGCCCGGACACTTACCTCATACCACTCATTTCTGAAATTTACTGATTTTTTTTTTAACAGCTTACCTTGTTGTCCACCTAAGAGTCTTTCTACTCCTTTGATTAATTTATGGCGGTGTCCATATGCATTGATACCTATTTCTTTCAACTCTTCATGACCCATATCAGCCAATACATCTAGTGTAATCTGAAAAATGGAACAAAATTGCTAAATTGTTAACAGTTCCTCAGATTATGAAAACTCTTCCATTTGTCTTCAATGCTATAGTATCCAAACTAAGAAAATTCTTCTTTCCTTTATAAGCATGAACCTACAATCTTAAAGTTGCCTTGATAATTTTATCAGCTTTTTGCTCACTTGAAATACTTACTCTGCTTTTAGTCAATGGAGAATTAAAATGGGAGAAACAATGCTATAGAAATACAAAATAATCTTTGCTATTTTTCCTTCTGATTATTTAATTCTACTGCATTTTGCTTGCCTCAAGATATGAGGGAACAACCAGTAGCTTGAAAATGGGGAAATAGCAGATCTCAGCGTCCTGCAGGTAGCAGAGATGAATGTAGGGGAAAGGTAGAGATGTTCAGCACAATGAAACAGAATCTGGCAA